AGGAGAGAGAGAGAGAGAGAGAGAGAGAGAGAGAGAGAGAGAGAGAGAGAGAGAGAGAGCAAAGGGTGGCCAGGGGTGTGGGCGCAGTATTTTTTCTTTTCGTGCCTGCTGCCCCCCTGATTCAGAGTGCATCCATCTTTTCCTAAATACCGTTTGGTTTTTCCTTTATACCGTTTGTTCTTTCCTAAATAGTAAAAATACCGTTTGGTTCTCCTTCCTTTGTTTGTGTGTGAAGCTCCAATAGGCCATATAGGGGACTGTGAAATGACTTGGTCAAAGTTTGAAGGATTGTTAGTATTGATAATGTTTTTTGTGTGCTTTTGGTGTGCAGATTTGGTGAAGAACATGGCCTGAGCATGGTTTCTGGGGATGCCAAGTTTGTCTGGGTGCTAGATCCAATTGATGGGACAAAAAGCTTCATTACCGGTACATGGCCACATCCGTCCCTCATAGCCGCAAACGTCAATGAAATTAATGATACTATGAACTGTTTCATTCATATGGCCACTATATCGCTTTTACCAGAGAAAGATAACATCGGTCCCATACCCCACTGGTACCAGCCGGGCGCTTGCTTGTTAGGAAAGCTGCACTACTACAGTAGTGAAGTCCGATAATTTCTGTCGTTGTGGTTCGAATCTCATTCACGGCACCAACGCTCTGTTGGCCTTGCTTTACTCTGATAACCTGTGTCGGTTCAATCTTCTGAGGGAAGTTTTCCTCCTCGGACAGTTGTAACGTAGCACCGGTTGTTATGCTTTGATCCCCTTTATCACCTAAACGGGTAATGGTGCAGGACCTGAAAATAAGGGGTCCCCTTTATCACCTAAATGGGTAATGGTGTACAAGAACGGTGGGTTAGCGCACAAAATGATACCCTTGGTTAATATGGTGAACGAGTGGCGGTGTGTGAATGTGAGACGAAGTAGCTCATCAAGTGGCTAACGTATACCTTGGCGTTTTTTGGACTGATGGGAAAACAGGAAAGCCGCTTTTTGGAACACTAATCAGCCTGCTTCACAACGGCATTCCGGTAAGTCTTTGCAACATCACTGGGCTATATTATTACGGACTCCTGTGAGGCATGGTTTGAGCATCCGTGTGGAGTGTTTGTGGTCATTGGTGATGTTGAGCCGGATGCAGTTCCTTGGAGGGACAAGCAGCCCGTATGAATGAGATATTGTCGATAGAAATGGGCATACAAAAGGGTCAAAAGGTAGAGACGGAGGGAAATATTGGACGAGAGATGATTTTGCTTGAGTGCCCATTGTATTCAGTGACCTTCAGGAACGATAAGCCAACCCATTTCATGTTTCATGCCACCAGCCCAGCTTTGAACCGAATGGCGAACAAACAAGATTACCAGCAGGAACCAGGAAATCAAGACAGCTTCACATTTCTCAAACTATACACGTTGGGACTTGGCACATCTCTACACACGACTTTTTGTCTGCATTTCCAAGATCCTCCTCCTTCAAGCTCCTTAAACTTGCCTCTTGTCTCTATCCCTCTATGTCTCTCTCCCTTGCTGTTATCGCTTTTTACATGGGCACCTGGGCCGCAGGCCTCACACCTCAAATTCTGGAGGTGCGAAACGAAAACGCGACCGCCGATCTACTTTATCAACGGCAGGTCCAGCGTTTGACGTTTCGGCCTCGTTTGCTTGTGGCGACAAGTTTTGGACTGCAAGGCTGGGGCTGTGTACTAGTGGTTTAGGACTATATCTTCTGCCTGCTTCCTAAGGTCCCTTAGACGGTCCACCTCCCGTGCAGCCTGGCTTGCCTGCACCTGTCTGCCAGAAGCCTCTCTAGGGGCTGTACTGCCGCTACTGTTGAGGTACCAACTCCTAGCATTGCAGCCCTCTAGCACGGGCTTGTCTTCTTACTTCCCGCTGTTCAGCCTGTCAGTTTTCTAATGTTATGAACATTACTGGATATTTTCCTGTTTATATTCAGGACCCCTCATGAATGCCAGAGACAACCTAAGCTAGCGCAAGGGCAGCTCATTGCTTCCTTCTACCAGTAAGAAATTGATTGGGTGTGAAATGACAGTGTAGACGCAAAGTACCAAACAGTCCACATAGTATGATCCACGAGACATTGTGTCGCACACTTAGTATCACCCAGGTCATACAATGCCACCCTTCCAACGTAGTACTGCCCAGTTCACATGGTTTGATCCCCCTTTACATAACCCGCATCCCATACGGTACTGCGCGCTCGCAGCATAGTCTCAACCAGGCCACATAACCCCGCTTGTGTGACTTCTCATCGCATAACATCGCTTGGCCCACATAGTGCTGCCTGGCCGTGGCAAGGGCCAAACTCCGCCTGATGTTGGCGATGGTTTTTTTCTTCTTCTTTGTCATGGCCTCCACCAAGTCCGTGGCGGGATCCGCTTGTTTCTTCGTGAAGGTTGCATTGTTGGATGTTGGGTGGGATGCAATGCAGTTGCAGGCTACAAGGTCCAGACTTACCTCCATGGAGGGGCATGGAACAGCAACAACATCATCCCAAAATGAACCGCATTAGTACGGACTCGAATCTGTGAGCTCTATTGGCACAAAGAATGGAAAGAAACCGTGGAACAGAATGTCAACGGGTCTTGTCTGAAATTGTGAGGGAAAAGTAGAGATCTCAGGTCTTATCTGAAATGGGAAAGGGAGCGTACAAATACCAGGTAAAATAACAAAGGAAAAGTAGAGAAATGACAGTTCAAGCTCTCTTTAAACTAGCCTCCTCAGCTCTGACCTCTCTCTCTCTCTCTCTCTCTCTCTCTCTCTCTCTCTCTCTCTCTCTCTCTCTCT